TTATACTGAAGATTCTGCCAACATGTGAGTGTCCCTCTTTTTTTCTTAGTTTTCTGGTGTGGGGATCTAACCCCAGGCGAGGCCTTTGCGTACCAAGCAAGTGCTGAGCTACATTGCCAGCCCATCTTTCTGACCGAGGAAATAGAATATAACAGTTGAGTTCAGGGCCTAGGAATTTTTTTTTTTTTTTTTTTTGTCTTTTTCCTTTTTATCGGTACCGGGGATCAAACTCACGACTGCCTGCTTGCAAGGCAGGTGCCTATGCTGCTGAGCTAAATCCCCAGCCCCCTGGGCCTAGGAATTTTTAAAAGCCAGTATTTTTGGGTGTGAAAAATTATGTTTTCGGGGCTGGGGATTTAGCTCAGCGGCATAAGCGCCTGCCTTGCAAGCAGGCAGTTGTGAGTTCGATCCCTGGTACCGATAAAAAGACAAAAAAAAAGAAAAAAAAGAATTAAAAAAAAATTACGTTTGGGAGACAAATAGGAATTATTGGGGACAGTTTTGGGGATTGAACCCAGGACCTTCACACTGAGCTACATTTCCAGCCCCCACCCTCCAGTCTGCCCCTTTTTCAGTTTGTTTGGAAACAGGGCTTGCTAAGGGCCCAGGCTGGGCTTGGACTTAGAGTCCTCCTACCCCAGCCTTGAAGAGTACTGAATTGTAGGCATGTGCCATGATGCTGGCTGGAAGTTTATTTATTTTTGTTGGTACTGGGAATCAAACTCTGGACCTTGTGCTTGCCAGGCAGGTGCTTGTGACACTAAGGTATATCTCCAACCCCTTAAAATTTATTTTTTAATGTGTATTGGGGTGATAAGGGACAAAATCTGTGGTGTGTATCTGAAAAAATGTATGAGCAGTACCATTGGGCTGTATTTCTCAAATGAAGGGGTCATTTCATAGTGGCTGGGGACATTTTTGTTTGTTATAGCTGTAAAGTACTATTGGCATCAAAAGGAGATGAAATTCACTAAGTGTAGTGGCACATGCCTATCATAGCTAATCAGGAGGCTAAGGCAGGAGGATCACAAGTTAGAGGCCAGCCTGGAAACCTAATGAGACCATGTCTCTAAATATACAAAAAGGGGTGGAGATGTAGCTCAGTGCTTGTGAATTCAGTCCACGGTATTACAAAAAGGAGGGTGGGATACAGGCAAAGGATGTTGCTAAACGTTCTAGTGTCCAGGATTGAGTCTTTCTTCAGTAAAGAATTAACTAGCCCAAAATATTAAATGTCACTACTATGTGACATTTATAAAACTCTGCTGTGGTTTGAATATGAGGGAGAGGTCAGAGTGCTTACTAGCGCAGAGGTACAGGGAAAGTTTGCATAAACTGATTATAGCATTATTATCTCCTTTTCTCTCAATCTAGTGGAAGCTGTTGCTGCCTTGGGGAACAAAGTTGTGGAAAGCCTAAGAGCACAGGATCCTTCTGAAGGTTTGAGTTTGTTCTGAATATGTAGTTGGTTGCAGTAGGAGCAAGGTCCTGTAGTTGTAAATGTGCTTTCAACGAAGTCAGGTCAGGCTCCATGGTAATCAGTGTAGTTATGTTTGGGAAAATTTTTAGTCCTCTGAGGCCTCAGTATTCAAAATCCTTTGACCTCCCTTCTAAAAGTCTACACTGAATTCTCTAAATTTTTGTTCTAAACTCTTGTTTTTAAAAAGCCAGGTATTCCCCCTGACGATCATCCATTTAAACATCAGTTTTCTAATGAAAATCTGAGTTTTAACTTTTGATTATTTTTTTACAGTTTTGACTATGCTGACTAATGAAACTGGTTTTGAAATCAGTTCTTCTGATGCTACAGTGAAAATTCTCATTACAACAGTGCCGCCTAATCTTCGAAAACTGGACCCAGAGCTCCACTGTTAGTCTTTTTTTTCCATTTCTGGGAAATATTGGGGGAAATCCACAACATGGTATTATTGTTGAATTCAGTTAGCTTTTGGCTGTTATATATGAAGCTTCCTGAAAATTGAAAGACTTGGTCTGAAGTTTGCTGTCTCCCTCTTTAACTTTACCAACTTCCTAGTGAAATTTTCAAAGGATGACTAAGAAAACAGTTGGGAGATTGGACAAAGACTGGAAATACTTGTGAAGGGGGATAGATTGTTGTTAAAAAAAAAAAAATATCATGGCTCTTGCATGCTCCTACATTTGGTTTGGAGGAGGAGCACTACTGTTTGGACAAGTCATTTGCCAATGTGAGGAACACAGGGTAGTTTTAAAGAACTGCTAATTGGTCTGTCTTTCCGGGTTTTACACCATAGCAATGGGATTGAGTTGTATGCTTATTAATAATAGAAACATTTAATTTTGCCCTGTCATACTTGTCTTCTAGTGGATATCAAGGTGTTGCAGAGTGCCTTAGCAGCCATTCGACATGCCCGCTGGTTTGAGGAAAATGCTTCTCAGTCCACGTGAGTCTCCTTGATCATTTGTACTACAATAACTTTTCTTAGCTGAATTGAATAGCAAGATGCCCTCATACTTCTCTGACAGCTTTAAAAGCATTTTTATCAGTACATGTTTGTAGTGTGTATAGCAGTTACCTTCAGCATGGAGAGTTGTTACATTTATATAATAACACACCTTAATTTTTTATGCCCCCTTTCTGGTTACTTTATAGTTTTGAGATGAGTCTTTGTGGTTTAGACTGGTCTTGAACTCATTATGTAGCCCAGGCTGGCCTTAACCTTGTGGTAGTCTTTTTTTTTTTTTTTTTTATCATCGGTACCAGGGATCGAACTCATGACTGCCTGCTTACAAGGCAGGCGCTTATGCCGCTGAGCTAAATCCCCAGCCCCAACCTTGTGGTAGTCTTACCCCATGCTCCTGAATGGTGGATTTACAGATATAGGCCACCATGCCCTGATCTTACTACTTTTTTTGTCTTTTGGAGACAGGGTCTCACTGTGCAGTTCAAGCTGGCCTTGAGCTCACTTTGTAGCCTGGGCTGATCTCAAACTCGCCACAATTCTGCCTCAGCCTCCCAAGTGCTGGGTTACAGGTGTGTGCCACTATGCCCAGCTTGATCTTACTACTTTTTAATTCTTGTTTTTTTTTAATATTCAGAGTTAAAGTTCTCATTAGGCTGCTGAAGGACTTGAGGATTCGTTTTCCTGGTTTTGAGCCCCTCACACCCTGGATCCTTGATCTACTTGTAAGTAAAGAGGGGCAGTGCAGTTGCCAAGCATCTCTGTGTAACAGTAGTTCATCTGATATCTGGGGAAGCTTAAAAGGAATTTGGTGGAAAATTAACCAATAAGGAATGATTTGGGGCTTCTTTGGATTTTGGCATAGTCATTCAATAAATAGCATGCCTCTGTGTTTTCACTGCTGCTGTTATTTCATTATTGTGATAACTTGGCAGGAAATGACTAGATGAAAAGCTACCCCAGAATTTCTTCTGAAGGAGAAAATTTGGGCTTGATCTTACGTAGTATTTCTCACAGTTTGTTTGGAGGTACACCTAACAACAGTTCTTTTCCAGGGGCACTATGCTGTGATGAATAACCCTACTAGACAGCCTTTGGCCCTAAATGTGGCATACAGGTACTGCATGCTTCTTTGGGTTTGGGGCTGGCTGTAAGCTCTTCTGTACATTTTTAACACCTTCCTATGTTTCAGGCGTTGCTTGCAGATTCTGGCTGCAGGGCTTTTCCTGCCAGGTTCAGTGGGTATCACTGACCCTTGTGAGAGTGGCAACTTCAGAGTACACACAGTTATGACCCTGGAGCAGCAGGTATGGGGAGAGCTATGAAATGGTCTGTTTTGCCCCTTTCAGATGGTTCTAGTCAAAAGGCTCTAGTTCTCAAAGATTTTTGGTCGTCAGATTACAATGGTCCTCATTTTTTTTCCTCAAGGATGTTAGTCAAACAAGGTACTTTCTCTTTGCTAATTTCTTTCGCTTTGCTCTCTTTCAGGACATGGTGTGTTACACAGCTCAGACTCTGGTTCGAATACTTTCTCATGGTGGCTTTAGGAAGATCCTTGGTCAGGAGGGTGATGCCAGTTGTGAGTGCCTACTGTGGGTTGGGTTTTTCATGGTACTCTGTTCTATATGTCTTACTTAATATTCCTGTGGTGCAAACCATGACTTGTTTTCTGGCTGTCTGTCTGGAATAAGCTTCTTTTGGTCTTCTAGATCTTGCTTCTGAAATATCAACCTGGGGTGGAGTGATAGTGACACCTTCAGAAAAGGCTTATGAGAAGCCACCTGAGAAGAAGGAAGGGGAGGAAGAGGAGGAGAATACAGAAGAACCACCTCAGGGGGAGGAGGAAGAGAGCATGGAGACTCAGGAGTGAACTTCCCTTTATTCCTTTTCATCCCCAAGGAGAAGACTGGAGCCTAAGCTGGCTGCTACTGGGCTTTATATGATGGTATCTGTTGGGTAAAGGAGATAGCAGAAAAGAACAAACTCCAGAAAGACATGTCATTCTACTGGTGTTTTTTTTTTTTTTTTTTGGTACTGGGGATCGAACTCAGGACCTCGCACTTGCCAGGCAGGCGCTTATGCTGATGAGCTAAATGCCTGGCTCTACTGGGTTCTTATACTGGCTTAGTGGCCAAAAGTCTCCCATTTTTGATTTATGCCACCTATCTATAATGAAGCAGGATACCAACATTTCTTCCTAATACTCTAGAATCCCCAATACCTGGCAACCCCTCTAACCAGTACTTTATTGTTGAAATGTTGTAAACTGTTTTAAATGTCTGGAGAATTTTTTTTCTAAGAAAAACAATTAAAGTACTTCCTAGTAGGGCTCTTGGTTTTGTTCTTCCTTGGTACTTGGTAACTTTTTCATGCTTTCTGTACTGTGGTTGAAAATGGTATTGAGACTTATAAACACTAAGATTACTATTTTTTTCTTTGTTGGTACCAGGAATCAAACCCTGGACCTTGTGTTTGCTACGCGGGTGCTATGTCACTGTGCTAAATCCCTGAACCCCATAAGGTCACAATCTGAAATGATTTATTTCCATATAACCAAAGTAAACTAGAAAATCATTTAAGCATTTATTGAATTAAATAGTTCTAGCTTTACTGCTACTATATTCAAGCCAGTGCAGTTCATAAGGGGGCAGACAGAGCTGGTCCTCTGAATTCTCATTGTAAACAAAGGAACAAGAAGCCACAAGGAACATGCTGCCCAGTGCCCAGGTCTTAAGAAACCAAATATGTAACAAAGGACACTCCATTGTTAAGTCTAGAAAAGATGAGCTTGGGATATACAGACTTCAGAAAAATGTAGAAGCTTCAGCTGATTCTTGGGAAGAAAGCAAAGTGTAGTATAAGTCCTTTGGGAGGCCAAGTGTTGCTGTACATAGGTTTCTTAGGGCTCCTACATGAATGAGTGCTTCAAACCACAAGGTTGCCTTTTTGGTGTTCCAAGGCCTACAGGGATTGCTTCCAGAGTCTTCTTAAATCTGGAGACAAGGAAGCTGGGGATGCTACTTGTGCTACTCAGGTCACAGGCCCATCTTCTGTGCTGTTACTTGCTTGGGGAGCCTGGGGGGTAAACTCCAGAATCCAGCATGGCCCTCCTGCGGGCTGTTTCTTTGGCAACACTATGGTTTAGCCTCCGAAGCCGTTCCTACAAGACAGGAAGATTTGGGACCTGATTGCTGTGAAAGGCTTCAAGTGGCTTAGACAAGCAGGTGCTAAGAGACATTTTAGGGTTAATGTATCTCAGTGTTTTCCAAAGCATAGGTGAGAATGTAAATGACAGCAACTGGATACTGAGAATCGAAGTTTATTATGGCTGGCTGTAGTGGACAATTCCCTTGTGCCGAGTATCTACAAAGCATGGCAAAGAACCGCTGTTAGGAAATTCTTTACCTGGGCATTCTGTAGAATGTTGTTGACCAAGACAACTCGTCGTCTGGCATTAAGTAGCTTCTTAACATAGGGATCCAAATCCAGGGCCACCTTCTGATCCTCATTGATTCGGCACAGTTCTAGGGATGGAAGAATGGTGCAGCAAACAATAGTTCACCTTTGGTTCTTAGGGAAAATAGGCTAGATTAATGGGGTCAAAAACAATCGCGTCGACGGTCTTTCCCTTCACTCCCTTTCACTCCTGTCCTAAAGCATCCTTGGAAGGTGTTCCGTCAGCGGCCCCGAAGTTCTGGCAGCAACTGACAAACCTTAACCCAGAGATGAGCAAGAGACAAAGGTCCTGAACAGGAGGTGGAGGTTTTCTGTTAAACGAGCTGCGCACTCACCTGTAGCGAGGTTGTCAATCTGTTCTCGGAGCTCTACCTGGCTCTCTCTGCAAAGAGATGTAAGGCCTAAACGGTCAGTTAAAGGAACTCAAGAACCCAAGTTACTAACCCTTAGTATTCCCAAATACCAAGATAAACCACCCTCCAACACCCAGTTCGCAGCCTTCCGCCGGTCTCCGCCCCCTCATCAATTTCCGGCATTCTCCCTGGGTCTAGTTTCCACCTTTCTAAACCCCGCTCAAAGGGGGGGACCCCACGGCGCACCGTTGCACCGGCGCACCTGACGGCGTGGACGTGGGAGTCGAGCTGCTGCACCGCCGGCCGCAGGAACTCAAGGAGCCCCTCCGCGAAGAGGTCGCGGCCTGTGGGTCCCGCCACTGGCGTCCCTGCCCCAGACACCGCGGCGGAACCAACCATCGCCATCACGAAGAGTCTACACATCCGGAACCTGTCGCGAGGGCCGCCGGGAAGTGGGACCCGCGGAAGTCTGCCGCGAGGGGGCGCCGGAGGGATGCTGTGTGGCCTACTCTGGGAAAAGGAGTACCGGAGTCGGGGCATGGCCAAGGGCAGGCGCACAGACTCCTGGGAGTTGTAGTTCTTGGGCCTTAAAAGGGCGGCCTTTGGACATTTTCTAGACTTCCGCAGCCAGAGAGACCCAGTTTTCAGACTGGACACTTTTTGTAAAGTGTGTGTTAATACTCCTAGTTGCCCTTTCCATGTTAATTTATTTTTTAATGTTTTTCACATGTTAATTTATAAGAAAAGCAGATTATACTCATGCTATAGTTCTGAATTTTTTATGCGATGGTCTTGCCATGTAGCTGATACTGGCCTCAGCTTCCCAAGTGCTGGGATTTCAGGCATGCGCAACCACACCTTGCTTTATAGATCTATTTTTGTATGTGTGTGTGTGTGTATGTATTTTTTAGACAAGGGGTCGTTATGCAGTTTAGGCTGGCATTGTGCTGTCTTTGTAGCCCAGGTTGGCCTTACAGTGATCCCAGGTTGGCCTTACAGTGATCCTCAGCCTTAACTCCTGAATGCTGGGATTATTAGATTTATATTTCTAAAGAGTTTAATTTATTTTAGTTTTTTTTCCACCTCAGGATATTTGAGCCTGATTTTAATCAAATCAGGGCCACTTAAGAATAACACATACAAGGGCTGGGGATTTAGCTCAGCGGCATAAGCGCCTGCCTTGCAAGCAGGCAGTTGTGAGTTTGATCCCTGGTACCCTTAAAAAAAAAAAAGTAAAAAGAATAACACATACAAATATGATATACCATAACTCATTTTATTTATTTATTTTTGAGAAAGGGTCTCTAACAAGAGGCATTATGGTAACCGTTGTTGGTCACCTTGTATTTTGCTTTTACATTATGTATTATGTCCATCCTTTTGATTTTACTGACTCTGTCCTGGTATGTCATATTTAGTTTTACTTTCTTCAAAAAAAAAAAAAAAGTAATAAGAACTGTGGAAGCATTAAAACCCAAAATGTATAATTATCATTGTACAAAAGAAAGGAAAAGAAAGTTCTCTAAAAGATATAACTGCATATATATTTAAGTGTATAAGATAGATAACCATATTACTGAGTTTTGTTGGATCATTGAACAAAACTGTTTGCAGTCTCACTGTTTGAAAGTCCCCTCTATATGCTTTAATTTTGTAACTTCAACAACTATTTCTAAGATGACAATATGTAATTAACTAGTGATTTCCTACTGTTTTTTTGAAATTCTGTATAACTTGTACCCTTCTTCTGTTTGTCTTTTTTTTTCTTTTTTCTCCTTAAATAAAATTAAAGAGAGAGAGAGAGAGAGAGAGAGAGAGAGAGAGAGAGAGAGAGAGAGAGAAAGGGTCTCACTGTGTGGTTGAGGCTGGTCTTGAAGTCATTATATAGCCCAGGCTGGCCTCAAACTCAGATCCTCCTGCCTCGTAATCCTGAGTGCTGTGGTTACAGGTGTGTACCTCCACGGCCAGCAATAACTCATTTTAAATAAAAATGACAATTGCAATTTCCCTTCTCTAAATAAATATTGTCTCAAGTAGTCCATGTGAACATCTTTGGTTGACAACTACAGAGTTCCACTCAAAGTGAGGAATCTGGACTACGCAATAGCCCAAAATTTCCAAATACTGTTTTCTCATAGCAGATTTTCCTTTTAAGTGAGGAATATTTGTACAAAAATATTTTGAGTCCAAAAATTCAAGTGCAATCATTTATCTCAGTGAAAGACTTGGTTCAATTACTTAGATGTTTGAGTCCCAGTACATTCTTTTTTTTTTTTTTTTTTTCTTTCTCGTTTTTATCGGTACCGGGGATCGAACTCACAACTGCCTGCTTTACAAGGCAGGCGCTTATGCCACTGAACTAAATCCCCAGCCCCCACCCCAGTACATTCTTTATGGTTTCCCCAAAGTTATATTATGGCTTTCATAAGAAAGAGGTTTTTGTTTATTTATCTTTTGTATCTTTATTATACTGTTGTTGACAGAAGCAGCCATTGAAACTATGGAATTTGAAACTCGGGCATTCCAAGCAGACATCTGTATTCAACTTCATATGACAAAAGTAGATCCTGCTACTCAGAGATGGAGTTAAAATCTAACCTGATTCGGGGCTGGGGATTTAGCTCAGCGGCATAAGCGCCTGCCTTGCAAGCAGGCAGTGAGTTCGATCCCTGGTACCAATAAAAATGAAAAACACAAAAAACAGAACAAAAAAATCTAACCTGATTCTCAATCTAAGAGTGGATATTAAAAATTGCCTTAGATCTTCTGAGAAATACTCAAGTATGGCCACAGAGAACCAAGAAACACTTAACATAAGATCCAATGTATCTGAGTGAGAATGAAGGCACTGCACGCATGTTCCAAAAAACTCACCCCCCCCCCTGTTTTTGAGACAGGGTCTCACTATGTAGTTCAGGCTGGCTTTGAGTTCACTTTGCAACCCAGGCTGGTCTCAAACTTGCAATGAGCCTCCTGCTTCAGCCTCCTGAGTGCTGGGATTACAGGCATACACCACCATGCCCAGCTAAAAGTGCATCTCTTTGAGGTGGGTCGTAGCTCAAGATGTTGAATGGAAAAATAATAGCGGAAATGAAAAAGGATAGATATTTTCAATCTGCCAAGCAACCATTGCTATTATCCTATCAAGCAGCAAAGTATTGAGGTAGTTCTAGAAATAAAAGCAATCCTTGCAGCATTTGTATAATTAATTTCATCTATCAAATGCTGCAGAGCAGCAATTGTTTCTTCCAGAACCTAATTCAAGGAGCCAGTCTCCTTTTAAAAATTTAAGTTTCTCTGATAAAGGATGCAAATTCTGCTCTGTTGTAATATCTGACAACTGTAGTAATCTAACTTTTGAAATAGTTTCAGTTGTTTCCCAGTAAGTCTACCCAAATTTATGTGATCATACTGAATCCATCTTAAAACAGATGTGAAATCATTCAGGCCACTGAAGTTACTCTGGGGTAAAAATGCTTCAGTGTGGGACATCACAGCCCTCCAGGTGAGCAGAAGGGAGCATAGACAGGGCACAGACCAGGCTGGCAGTCTCATCAGTTGGACACTAACTTTCAAGTAACTAAATAGACCAGGTGTGGTGGTGCATGCCTGTGATCCCAGCACTTGGGAGACTGAGGCAGAAGGATCACTAAGAGTTTGAGGCCACCCTGAGCTACATAGTGAGTTTGAGGCCAGCCTGAACTACACTGCAAGACCTTGTCTCAAAAACCAACCATAAAAACAACAAATCAAGTAACTACATACTAATTTTATGAGTTTCATGAAAACCTTTATACTTTGAAAATGTAGAAAAATTAATTCTTGAGTTATCCTCAGTAGCCCTATTGGTTTATAGTTTTCCAAATTTTATGTAGAACTAAAGCAGTTTTTAAAAAATCAACTCTGGAGCCGGGTGTGGTGGCTCACACCTGTAATCCCAGCACTTGGGAGGCTGAGTTCGAGACCAGCCTGGACTACAAAGTGAGCTCAAGGCCAGTCTGAACTGCATAGAGACCCTGTCTCAAAAAGACAGAAAAAAAAAATTAACTCTGAATTTCTGCTTTCCATTTCTTCCATTGCTCCCACTGCCTCCAGGGCTTGCTAGCTGGTCATCTCCTTCAAGATCAGTAATAGAGTTGATTCAAGTTGTTTATTTTTATAAGGTTCTACCACTGTTCCCAAAGCAACAAATGATTTTATAAAGCTTTCAGGGTGATCAAACAAAGGAATCATCTCAGTGAGCCTCTTTTTAGGCATTGAAAGAAATTCTAAACTATAGAACAATAGAAACTGTTATATGAAAAAGTGTGTTACTGATGGAATCCAAATCAAGGTGCTTCACATTGCTTAAAAACACTTTTTCAGCTGGGCGTGGTGGCTCACACCTGTAATCCCAGCACTTGGGAGGTTGAGGCGGGAGGATCCTTGTAAGTTTGAGACCAGTCTGGGTTACAAAGTGAGCTCAAAGCCAGCCTGAACTGCATAGTGAAACCCTGTCTCAAACACACACACACACACACACACACACACACACACACACACACAAAACACTTTCTCATTACTCTAATAGTGGGTAATGACTACATTTGACATTTCCAAGGAACTGTGCTATTTTCTTCAGTGTTGACCTGAGAATAATCTATGGTGTCAAAAAGAAATTTTGTTTTCTCACTAATTTTTCTTGAAAATGTTATGATGTTAAAGAGGATACGTTGATCATCAAGACAAAGACTTTAAGTCCTGTGGAGAACTTCATATTTACAATACTATCTTTTCCATTAATGGACTGCAGTACAAACGTTGATTTCTGGGCAGTGTATGCCATGTTTACCAGGGTATCATCATGGATTTTATTTTACTTGTACTTATAGTACACAGAGTAGGAAATTGGGGTGGTCTCTGCCACACTCAACATTTTTTTAAATGAGCTTGTCTTCTGCTTTTGAAACTGCCAAAGTACATTAAATGCATTTCCCATTTGCTTTTCTGAACGTGTGGCTTTGTTTCTTTCAGTGAGATCAAATATTTCCTCTTCATCTGTACATTTATTCATCTGAATAGTGGTTCACACTGAAGAGTTGAAACTGAAACACTTCAGAGGAGTGGACAAGAAGCTCTTAGACGAACTATATTTCTAGCCAATGAGTATAGTATCCGTAGGTAAAGAAAGCCATCGATAACTAGTAGTCAGGTGCAGTGTGCTGACATAAAAAAATAACTTCATAGTTTTTGTTTCCTTCATAATAACTCTAAACCTGTTCGAGTAGGCAGTTTTGGCAAGTTTTTCCATCAGTGTCTGCCAGCCTTTCCACAGGATCCAGGAGTAGATGGGTTTTGATGGCTCCAAAGTTAGGGTTATCCCTGGTGCCCAGCAAGGGACAAAACAGGCACAGCTGTGTTGCTCATGCCTCCCATTCCAGGGTTCTTAGCCTGTCCTT